AAAAAAAAAAAAAAAAAAATAGAAATGTGACCAAAATTTCTTTCCTTCCTCTGTCGTTCTTTACTTCAGCATGCTATCTGCAGTGGTTGTTAAGGCAACAGCGATAAACTCATAGAAACATAATAGGCAACCCACTAAGAGCAGATGTGGATTTTCAGAAAATGCTTGCCTGGCGTTGCTGAAAAATCGGCTATGTCTTAAATGGCCTAAATTCTGATAGGTAGCTGCTTGTTCCATGCCTGTCCATTTCTGCAGTAATTGAAACCAAGGTTTTGAAGTAAAACTTAATTTTTGTCAACTTGTCAAGTATAGTTTTCTGAAGAAAACTATTAGTAGTTGAATATCCTTCACTGTCTCTACTTCCTTTGTGAAACGAACGAAAAAGAGTGACCTAGTAATATATAACAAGTTCTTGAGCTTCTAAATAACTTCATGAAGTAAAAAACTTCCTATAAATATACCAGCTCCACACACACACACGCACGCACACACACATATACACAAAATACTATACTTTTAATAACTTTGTGTTCTAAAATACTACTAATATTTAGATGGCAATGCAATTATATTACAAATAAATACTCCAGATAGGATAAAAGTGCAAGTTTATGAAAAATTACTCGAATGGTTAAGTGTCATAATTCCTAAATATAGTGGAAGACATTTTAGATTTTAGTAAAAATCATTGTTTCTAGTAAAAACCCTTTCTTTTCCATTTTCTCTTTTTAACCTGATATAATTAAATTGTAATTTGTTTGCTATTTGACTATGATAAAAATGACATAAAGTAAAAACTTTCTTATATAATGACACTATATTTTTTTAATGACACAATTTGATGATTTAGTAGTACTCACCCATCCTGGCTTCACGTTATTTATCAAGGTACAATTTGTATCCATTATGCCCTAAGATTTACTCCACTTTCAAACCTTTGTAATTCTCACGAAAATATACGGAGTCAGCCCAAATGCCCATCAATCAATGAGTGGATAAAGAAACTGTGGTGTATATATATACCATGGAATACTATTCAGTCATAAAAGGGAACAAAATAATGGTTCTCACAGCAAACTAGATGAAATTGGAGACCATCATTCTAAGTGAAGTAACTCAGGAACAGAAAACCAAAGACTATATTTTCTCATTCATAGTGGGAGCTAAGCTATGAGGATGCAAAGGCATAAGAATGATATAATGGACTTTAGGGGGTTGGGGGAAAGGGTGGAAGGAGGGTGAGACACAAAAAGACTACAAATTGGCTACAAGGTATACTGCTCAGATGATGGGTGCACCAAAATCTCACAAATCACCACTGAAGAACTTACTCGTGTAACCAAACATTGCCTGTTCCCCCAAAACCTAAGGAAATTAAATAATAATAATAAAACAAAAGCTTTATAATTCTGAGAACTGGTGGTCATTCACTAGTGTTTTATTCACAGAAAACTATAAATTGTCATCAAAAGTTACTAGTCAAAAATAAACAAAACCACTAACAATGCATGTCCTAAATAAACAAATGAAAACAGAGTCATTTTCATTTCCAAATCCTCTTGCTCGTTTCTAAATACATTGGCTTTATTTCCTTACATCCATAAAATATCTTTAATTTTTTATATACATACATATATAT